ACTCACGGACCAGGAGAAAGACCGTGCTCTATGGGCAAGCCTGATGCGGAGGCTTGCCATGGAGGATAAGATCAACATCAGTTCTTTGCCTCGTCGCTCGGCTGAAGTGGGATGTCTGAAATGTAAACTGACCATGACCAGTGATCTTCCTGCCTTACTTAGGCAGACCACCGCGGCTTGACAACCAGGTCTTTGCTTTGTCTGAGTGGTACGACGCTGCGTGAGGCTGAGGCCGACCGGGCAGCAATCCGGCTGCATCTTTAATACCCTCTGGTCCGAGTCCGATGTGAAGCACCATGCTGAAAGGCAAGGGCGAATGCTAAGGTGCACTCTGTTTTGCATGACCGTGCACCTGACCTCCTGCAAGTGCGGCGTCGACATGGCAGCCAAAGCTGAGTCTCGGCTGCAGCTATAATGACAATTAAATGTGATGTGCCAGCGTGCAAAAAGTTCCAGCGGTGCATGTTGCATCCAAGGGCCTGGTCTCATTGTTGCTGCACCCCCACCCGCATGCCCCGGCGTATGCTCATCGAGTCACCATCCTGCTGACACATGGCTCGTCTTTCAACTTTGGGGGTATTTTTTCTGGAAGCTGTTCATTGCCTGAACTTCAGGCGAGTGGGTGTGGGACAGCAGCTTCACCAATGCCACCGCCTCCAAGTTGGTCATGAAGCACGTGAGGGAGAAACTTGTTGGCTGTATAGTAAACTTTTCCATTTTGGGGCTCTTTATAACTAATGTAGTCGATTCTGACACTTTCAACTTTTATTCCCTCGCTGAGGAAGTCTGACTGGCTTCAAACCGAACACAGCTCCTGGCGCCACATCGCTCAGTCCGTTAAGAACCGTGCTCAAGGTCCAAGCAAAGCGGTTCCGGATCCCACCGATCCATGGTCGTCTGACAATGAGAATGAGGAGGAGACGGAAGCCACCGTGCCTGATACAGGCAGCACAGCCCCAGCCAGGGCATCCTCGTCATAAACAGACTCAGCCGGGGCATCCTAGCCATGGACAGGCCCAGCCGGGGCATCCTCATGGACAGGCCCAGCCGCCGGGGCATCCTCCTCATGGACGACATGGACGACGTCTGATCAGCAGTGGTCTGATCAGCAGTGGCACGGCTGGCGTTGGCGAGCGTCTGACTGGCTGAACGACGAGGAGGACGAGGACAGCGGTCGGACGAAGAGAGCATTGCGTGGTCCTGAGGCGGCCTGACTGACGGCTGGTCTTCTCTTCATAAGTGGCTCTTCCGAAGGAGAAAAATGGGCTTTGCAGTGCGGGCGTGTGCTGAGTCACTGAGTACTGCGTCTGACATGCATTGTGAGAGATTTGCCGTGCCCGAGGTTGGGTCGGATGTCATCCTCGGCGATGGCCTCTCGCTCAGACGGGCATGTCCACATGTGCAGCTGCCTGGCCTGATACTTTTGTTGTTGTCAGGGCACAGCACGACTTCCTGGTGGCATTGGCCAGGCGAGTCATACTTATCTTGTTCTTGATTACAAGAAGCATTTTGCATCCGGAGGAGCTGGCCTGACATTGGATTGGGAGGGATACGTCGACTGAGACCAGGCCTTGAACTCAGATGCCTTATCACTGGTCGCACCTGTCACACTGTCTAAATTGCTGTTGCTTCCGTACTTCTCGTCCAGTTGTCGATTGAAACGAATCCTTGTCAGTTGTGTTACATGCGGACTTTCTGGCACACGTGGTCTTGGCCGAAGTTGGAGTCATCTTTGCTCATGCAATGACTGCTGCTGCTGCTGCCGCCACTTGACTCCGGTGCTGTTACTGGTGCTGCTGCTTGGGGGGCGGTCACCGGCGGACGGGGCCAAACCTTGGAGGAGGGGGCTGCACGGAACTAGTGAGACCAGCCTTTCAACGCAGACACTTGTCGCTGGTCGCACACTTGATGCTTCTGCACTTGTTGACTGAATTCAATTCTTGGACTCCTCGTTGTAACATGTTTCTGTACCGAAGCCTGATTCCGGACTTCGTGGCACGTGCGGAATCATCTTTGCACATAGACGACTGCTTCTGCTTCTGCTGCCGCCGCTTGACTCTGCTGCTGCTTGGGGCCGGGCGGAGGCAGTTCGGGTTCGGGGCTGCGTTTGTTCTTTGTGCTGATTCGCTGACCCACCGTGGCCCCCACCGTCACACCTGCAGGGCTACTAGCCTGCGGTCTGCCAATGGCGGCAGACAATGAGGGGGGGGGACCTGTCATTGTCCGGTGGAGTTATTGCCGGAGCATACCAGGTCATCGGAAGCTATGAATCTGCAAGTATGATAAGCCTGCGGCGTGCAGTGGCGGGACCCAGAAAGGCAGAAACTTCCGACCCCCTTCATTTTGGCGGAACCCACCTTGGCCGAGTGGGGGTGAATCTGTCTGGCATTCTCGGGCAAACACCGGTGTTTGAAAAGACCATTGGGGAGGCCGCCTAGTCGTCTGTCTGATTGACTTGCTTGCTTTCGTGGCGTGTTTTGTGCTGTGGCCCTTGCGGTTGGAGGCGGAATTGAGCATGCCTGGCGGGTCTACTCTTATGTATCAAACTCGATCCCAACATGTTGTAGCCATCAGGGCAGAAGCCTGCTGAGGTGAGGGGATTCTACTTGATTGAGACCGTTTCATAATCTGCTGTCATGTCTTGCATCGTGGCCATGCATTGCTGCAATCGAACGAAATCCAGTGGCAAGCAAACAAATCGAAAGCTAGAAAGATGTGTAATTGTCGCTGCAATCATTGGCTACCTTCAGTGCAGCACTTGTTATTCATAAAGGAAAGAATTTAAAAATAGTAACTTGGTATTTCAGTCATAATTTCTCTTAGATTCAGTGCAATTACGGCTGTCTTCAGTGCGGCATTGTTGCACTGGAGACGAAGTATAATGCACCTAAGACAGATTCCACTGTGAAGTGTAACTAGTGTAACATATTAATACTAGATTTGTATTCAGTGCAATTACGGCTCTCTTCAGTGCAGCAGTGTTGCACTGAAGACGAAGTGTAATGCACCTAATACAGATTCCAATATGGACTGCAATATTATTTTATTACTAGTCGATTTGTATTCAATGCAATTACGACAAAGCGGATCCCTATGCAACGACGGCTACCAGCACTTAGCAAAAACAAAGTCCATTAGCAATATATTAATACTATTGGATTTGAATTCAGTGCAATCACAGTTGTCTTCAGTGCAGCAGTGTTGCACTGAAGACGAACTTTTATGCACCTAATAGAAACTCTAGCAGGGAGTGCAATTATTCTAATATATTAATAGAGGATTTGTGTTCAGCGCAATTACAGCTATCTTCAGTGCAGCATTGTGGCACTGAAGACAAAGTATAATGCACCTAATACAGATTCCACTATGGAGTGTAACTAGTGTTGTATTTCAAAATGGATTTGTATTCAGTGCAATTACAGCTGTCTTCAGTGCAGCATTGGTGCACTGAAGACAAAGTATAATGCACCTAATACAGATTCCATTATGGAATGCAATTAGTGTTTTATATTTGTTTTTGGATTTCTAAGGCAATTGCGTGCATGTAACAAACACTCTAGTTGGACTGCAAAGAATGTAAGTTTATTAGTATTTTAAAGACTACTAGCTTTGTATTGAATACAGCTATGGAATGCAATTAGCAATAAACTAATATGGAATTTGTTTGTCTTCAGTGCAATTACAGTTGTTTTCAGTGCAACATTGTTGCATTGAAGACTAAGTATTATGCACCTAATATAAATTCCATTATGGAATGTAATTAGGGAAGTATATTAATAGTGGGTTTGTATTCAGTGCAATTACAGCTATCTTCGGTGCAGCATTGTTGCACTGAAAACGAATTATTATGCACCTAATACAAACTCTACTATGGAAACAATTTTTTTTAAAAAAAGGACCAAGGCAATGGCAGCTTTCGTGCAGTGAAGAGGATTCAATATGCATTTAATATAAATTCAAGCATGGACTGGAATTATTGTAACCCATTAGGAGTGGGTTTGTATTCAGTGCAATTACAGCTGTCTTCAGTGCAGCATTGCTGCACTGAAAACAAAGTATAATGCACTCAATACAGATTCCATTATGGAGTGTAAAGATAGTTATAGTGGATTTGTATTCAGTGCAATCACAGCTGTTTTCAGTGCAGCATTGGTGCACTGAAGACAAAGAATAATGCACCTAATACAGATTCCACTATGGAGTGTCATTAGCAATATACAAAAGGGCTTTTGTTTTCAGTGCAATTACAGCTGTCTTCAGTGCAGCACTGTTGCACAGAAGACGAAGTTTAATGCACCTGATACAGATGCCAATATGGAGTTTAATTATTGCCGCATAATAAAAAATTGCATCTAATAGGGTTCCTATGAGTCAAATGAATAGAAGATATGTCTTCAGTGCCATCGGGTTGTTTTTTGTTGGCAGTTAACTGCGTCTTGTGAAGCAATTGTGTGTCCAAGATGATTGGCCTGCAATGGTTTGGGCGTCGGTGTGTGTTTCAGTCAAAGGCCTTATGGCCGGAATTAGGACGGATGCAAGCTGTACACTCATGGAGGCTTTACGTATATCTTGGTTCTTATAATTTTGTGCGATGATGTTGATTGAAGCACGGAAATCACAGTAATTAGGAATTCCTAACCTGTTTCAATCACTGCATGCGACTTTGCAAGTACGCAGTATAGGCCAGGGTGCGAATATTTGCTGAAGTTCTTCTGCCTCTGACCTGTGCTGGTGACTGTCTCTGAAGCAGTAGTGCCTGCAAAGTTTTTTTCGTGCAGCCAGGAATGCCTGCAAGCACCGCTCTTCTGAGGTATCTTTCGCTTTCGACTTGCTGCTCCACCGTGTGATTGGGGAGTTGCGGCCTCAGACTGGCACTCCCCTTGCTTCCGTGGTTCTGCTTGAGCCTGAATGATTGTCATCGTTTGCCCGGCCTGATATTGCATCGGCCCCAGCTGCCTGAAATTCCTTGTGACGGATCGCGTGCTGTTTTGTCCTTCGCCATGATCGGCTTTGCCATTGGGGACGACGTCAAGGCGGCCCAGATGCAGCACTACGAGTTTTTTGACTCGCCCGAGGCGTGCTTTGTCGCAGCGGCAAGGCTTGAAGCCAGAAGGCGGCTTGATCGAAAAACGTGATTCGGTCATGTAATTTCTTTCGTTTATTGGGAGTCTGGTAACTAAGGCTGGAGTTGAAAGTCAGCGATGCCCTTCCGCCGATGCCTGAGAAGAAGCCGAGGAGGAAGACGAAGACTGCGGAGGCTGACGGTGTCAGTGTGTCGGCGGCCTCCGGTTCCAGCTCGTGGACTGGTTCCACAAACATCTTGAAGTTCATGGGGTGCAGCACAAAGTTCATTCGCCTGACGGTCCATGACCCAGCGTCGGCTATGACGGACAGGATCATCTCGCACGTGGCGACTGACGGACGAGCGACGGGAGCCCCTTTGTTCCGAGTTCCGGTTCAGACCGTCTTGCGTCCGCCGCCTGCGAAAACAATGACCATGGATTTCTTCGAGGCCAAGCTGAACGTGCATGCGGGAGAGTACATCAAGACTGAGGATGATCGTGGGCTTGCCGAAGGACAGGGAGTTGTGGGGTTGCTGAAGCTGAAATAATTGTGATCCCTAAACGACACAGTGGCAGCCTCAGGGCCGTGGCATTTCTACCGCCTGGTGGACTCCAGCCTGAACATGTCCATGTCGAACGTCTTGTTTCGCAACACACCCGGGAATACACGGTCTGAGAAGCCCTACGTGTGCTTCACCGGCTTCAGCGGGCCTGCCCTCCTTGCGTTTCTCATGACTCGTGGGAAGAAGGCTGAGTCTCTTGGCCAAAAATTAAGGTCTAGGTCCGGCGGCCGCTTGCGGTCGCCCGAACCGCACAACGATCCAAGGGTTCTGCTGTATGAGATGTTCTTCAAGGAGCTGCCTGAGCAGCTGCAGCTGACTGACTGCCCCCTTGTCGCCGCCCGGCAGCACGAAGACACTCTCGTCGTATCGGGCCGTTGTTTTTTTCCGCCACTTGCCACAGGACTACTGGATCAGCCCTGGTCAGATCGAGATGCAAAGCCTGAGGATGTTCAAGGCCGAGGTGAAGCTTGTGATTTGGCACGAGAAGAGCATGAAGGAGATGTTGGTCTCCAAGCTTGACGGGCAGATTTCGGCCACCATGAACCGCCTGAGAAGTCTGAAGCGGAAGAAGGTGGACCTCATCAAGGACGGTGCCCGCCTTGGTCAGACATTTGATTTGCGCCTTCAACCATGACAGCGGGCTTTTCGGCTGAGTGGGACATTTGAAGGTTGCATCCCGGAGTTGGACGACGAGCCTGACAGCGACAACTCCAGCATGAATGATTCGGCTGAGTAGTAGGCGAGGCTGTGCCGGCGTTTGATTTGAGACGGCAGAAGCACCCAAGATCAGTCTGGAGCTTCCGAGCTTGCGGTTTTTGACATTGAATGAGGGAGCCGAAGAAAATACTTGTGTCTGTGTGTGCAATTTTGGGATGCCGGCTGCACAGCATGAGTGCCAGTCGCACCCAGGCCCATTTCCAGCAGAAGCCAAGATACCCGTTGGAGTTCCGACAGAACGACACTACTTGTTTGCGGCTGAGGCCAAGAAGTCCTGCTTCAAGCACGGCGATTCGACGTCCGAAGGCGGAAAGGGTCCACGTGCCCGGGTAGAAAAGTCAAGGGAAGACAGGAAGGTTTAAGCCATGTAACCCCGGGGCCCCAGGGCAGGTTGTGTATGATTCTCATAATGTCGCTGTCACCCCATCAATATTGTCAAAGTGGTCCAAATCGGTTGGAGACTTTTAACTTGCCAGTAGAGGATTACAACACGATATTCACGGCTGACCATGCTAGTCGTGCTCGCATTTCCAAAGCAACAGTGATTATCCATCTGATATGTCAAGCAAGAGCGTGCAGAGTGTTTTGGACAAACATCAGAAAATTGTCAATCTCGTAGCCCTTCGAACTGTGGTTGCTCCCGGAGCATTATCTTCTTACAAAATGGCCAACAGCAGAAGCTTCGGACATATCTTTCCGTCATGGGCGTGGTTGCAGTTCGCATGTTCCGTTAGCGTGCCGTTAGAGTCAGACCCGAGGTGCAAAGACTGAGTAAGCTTCTGCAAGCCAACCGCTCCCAAGTGGGGAAGGCCACTGGACCCACAGAACTGACCTCTGCAGGTCTGAGACTGGACGTCATGGCGATGGGTCCACGAGGAGTGGCTGCCTAAGAACTTTCGACTGGCTGAATAAAAGTTTGTGAGACAGTCGTCGGGTCTGCATAGGGTACAGAAATACACCTCGGCCCGGGGCCGAGGCGTATTCCTGCACACTTGGCTCGGCGTACATCAGATGGCCTTGTATTGTGTTATTATGACCTGGTATAGATGTCATCTTGTCGCGGTGTACAAGAATACACCTCGGCCCCGGGCCGAGGCGTATTCCTGCACACTTGGTCTGGCGTGCAACTATCTCACAAACTTTCTTTCAGCCAGTTAAAAGTTGAACGATTGACCTCGCCTCAAATCCCGTTCTCCCTGCATGCCTGAGGTACGTTCTCTGTTGGCCCTGGATTTCCGAACAGCCGATCTCTTCAGAAGGCCGGGACTGTCGGCTGAATCATTTCAGAAGTCGGCTTGGCATGATGGGTTGACCACCTCCTCCCCGCAAGATTGCGGCTTTGAGAGCCGCTCTGCCCCGGCTCTAGCCTTTCCTTTTCCGGGGTTTTTCCGAATCCGAAAGCCATGGCTCCCAAGACTGGCCGGACGAGTGGGGCCAAGAAGGCGGCCAAGGCAACTGCCAAAGCTAAGACTGAGGCCACGGCGGCTGAGGCTGCCGAGGTGGAGTCTGGGGACTTTGCCATGGAGACCGGGCGTGAAGCCGTGAAAGAGGCCCTGACTTTTTGAAGAAGAAGAAGCTCTTTCCGGCTAAGGCTGAGAAGGTCGGCACTCACCCCATTCTTCCAGATGCCTGGCAGGGCTCGAGCCTGAAAGAGGCCGGCTGGCTTTAGATTGTTCAGAAGTCAGACTTGAGATACTCTTTTTGGTTGGCGGTTCGGTCTCGTCTGACAGGCCTCCACATTCTCAGCGAGCCTGAAGGACGTGGACGTGCAGTGCTTGGAGGTTCCACCGCCTGAGGTGCTGTCTGAGGCGGCCGAGTTCTTGTTTGCTGCTGGGAGGTCCGATCAGGAGATTTTCGTCTCGGCGACGGTGACGTCTGAGACGACAAAGCCAGGCGAGGTTGTGCTGTCGCCTGAGGACCATACCAAGGTTGCAGCGTTGGTATAGGCCTTCGGCAAGGCGGCGGCTTCGTCTGACAGCGACCTCTGTGAGAAGTACCGACGCCTGAGCAGCCGCATCGTGATCTCCATGGTGCTTGGCAAGGTGTCTGACCAGGCAGGGACCGTGGTCAGTCTGATCCAGGCACCTGAGGACATCGGCAAGAAGGCTATGGAGTGTTCCAATGCGATGCCGTTCAACCTCGCCTCGCGTCTCACGAGGACCTCGGCCGGGGTTTAGTAGTGACTGTCCCGTTGCCAGGATCCGTAGTAGTGACTGGCTTCTTGCCAGGATCCGGGCCGCCTTGTCAGCACAACACAAGGCCTCCACTCACGAGGAGGTGTTCTTGTTGTTGAAGAACATCCGCTGGAACGGCGAAGCCTACAAGGCCCGGGATTCCTGGCCTGAAACTCTTAAAACCGAAGCCCTGAACCCGACAGGTGAAGACATCTGACCAGGTGCAAAAGCTCACCACTATGCTTGACAAGACGAATGCGGCCGGCATGACTGAGTCGATGAAGGCGTGCCAGTATGTGAAGAATTCGACCACGTGGTTGGGCAAGTGGAGCATCGTCACTCGCGTGCACCTCGTCCTATGAGACAAGAATCTCAGCACACACATGACACACTGCATGCCGTCAGATACCAAGGGTCAACAGCTTGAAGTCCAAAGAGGAGCAGAGATTCGTCATGTCGCTCATCTGTCAGGTCCTTGCCTCAGCAGCCACTGTCGAACCTCAGATCTTCTTGGAAGTTCTGCCCAGGAGATGCGGGAGGACAGCAGCCTGAAGGACCATTTGGGTGTGTCCCTGTCGACCAACACCCACATGCGTGACTTGAACAGGGACCAGGCGATGCAAGTGACAGGGATGCTGCATCTGCGGTTCGTCGTGCTGGAGCGGCTGAGCCATCTGCCCATCCCGGACGATGCACCTGACAAGCAGACGGCCATGGATTTTCAGAAGTCTCTGCAGAGGTGTCTGAATCCGAAGGAGTGGGCTCAGCAAGGCGGCTTGGTATCCGTCGCGGCCTTCAGCGAGCCGCCGTACTGCAGTCTGAGTAAAAGGATTGCAGGAATGCTCCGGGGCGATGACGATGAGCTCTTCAGCACTGCTGTCACTTCCGGGCAGAAGGTGGGTCCGTGGTTGTGACAGTGACATGGCTTTTGCAAGCCAGAAATGATCAGCTGCCAGGAGGAGTTTGGACCCATCCTGGAGCTGCTGACCAAGTACAGCGACGAGTGGAAGATGAAATTGAGCCCCATCCGTGCACAGCCTGAGCCGCAGCTTCAGACCAAGCCTTCGCGTGAGCTTGAGACGGTGCCCGAGACGGATCCGTCTGATACGGCAATGGCGGGCCGCACACCTGAGATGATCAGGGAGCAGCAGCTCAAGAGAGCGGTGGAGGCTGGAGAGCTAGTCTGTGTACAGTGTTTGCAGCGAAGCTCGTGTCCTCCGTTTGCACGAGAGGAGGAAATGGCCTTCTACATTCACTTCTACCAAAGCGACATACGGAATCCTTCCGCTGCCTGGGCTGATGCTCTGAAGCAACATCAGCTCCTGAAGAAGGACCGTGTCCGATGCACAGACCAGGCTCTTGTCAGATCTTCTTTGGTTGCTTGACAGGCGGAGCCGGTGTTATTCATCTTCGACTCCTCGCTGGTCGCTGAAAACGGAGGCTACAGCCGCGTGCACAACGTGTACCAACCGGCCGTTTTGGAGCGTGACCTGTACGACAACTGCTTCCGAGTGTACGAGGCGGCGCGGCTTCCAAGGACGAGGCCAGCGGCCAGTCCTGCGACAGAGACAGAAGCTTGGTGCTTGGATTCAATTGTTTTCCGTGCATGACAAGACCGCTGGCTGACCTTTGATAGCGGCGTGCAGAAGGCCTCGAACACCATCCTGAAGTTTTTCAGGAATCATGGCTTGACGCCCCAGAGCATTATTCTGATCGGAAGCGAAGAAAGTGTTCAAGGGCGGAAAGACTACTTGCGGTCTGCGTGGCTTGGCCGCATGTTCTTGTGTCTGACTGCAGTTTCCTTTTTTGGCTTGGCCGCCTGTTCTTGTGTTTGACTGCAGTTCATGCTTCCAGGGAGGAGAGGAACTGCAAACGGCGGAAGACGGGAACCGCTGGAAGTCTCATCAGCATCGCCGGGGCCAGGGAGACAATGTACTTCGGGTGCAAGTCTGAGCCGCTGCCTGCCAAAGAGCACAAATGTCTGGCGACTGATGGCGTGGTGAGCACCGCCTGTCCTGTCTCGGACTGAGATACGTCTGGGAGCAAAGTTTAATGACGAGAGTTGGGGATAGGGAATCGTTTCTGAGGTGCTGCCGAACGTGCCCTTGCCTTTGCCTGAGAGCCTGATCCGGGTGACGGTGAGCCAGAAGAAGGAGGCCAGGAAGTCGGATATGTCCGATTTCATCCTGCTGTTTCTAAGTAATAATCGGTCAGGTCATCCCTTTGGTGTGTGGAAAGGGTGTGACCGACAACGGCGGCCAGGTGCAGGGCTGAGCATGTTGGGACGGCTCAGGCAGCACTAGTTTCGGCCCCGGGAGGTGGCACCGGCTGAGCACGTGGAGGACACCGACACAGTCCCTCTGGTGCACTTCGAGAGGAGCTGCTTGAGTCCATTGTCTGGGCCGGTGAATTGAATTGGCAGGAGCCCACAGATGTACCGGATGCTGCTGCACACGGTCTCGCCCATTGCCTGTGTCGTGAACTTTTCTCCGGGGTCGGGGTGCCTGAGCGTCGTCGCCGCAGAACAGCGGGTCCCGTGCATCAACGTGGTGAGGACGCCTGAACAACGGCTGATGCTCCAGAGCATCATCCGGCAGGAGCTGGCTGGTCGCGTCAAGAACGCCAACGACCAGCGCTTCTACCGCGTGCCTGAGCCGCAGAGGGCTGAGCCTGAGAGACCGCCTGTCTCGACAGCGGTTGGCTCGCCCGCGGTTCCGGTTCCCCCGCCTGAGACAACGACGGTGCCCCCGCCTCAGACAACGACGGTGCCACCGCCTGAGAAAACCACGGATGTCTCGTCACCGTCTGATGAGTCTGACAGCAGCTCAGGCGCGGTCACGTAGAAAAGTAGAAGGCCATTTCGTCGCTCAGACATTCCATGCAGCTGGGTCCAGTCTGATGGAGCATTGCACTTTTAACCATGCAGCTGAATCCTGAAGCACGTCCAGTCTGGGACATGGACCCAGCAGATTGCACTTTTGACTGCACTCAAGGATGGCAGACGAGGTAAAACACCCGAGGATTGCACAAGTTAGTACGTGATCTGTCAAACAACATGGTGCAGGTGCGACTTCGGCAAATCTCTCAATATCCGCAAGTTTTGAGCTCAGAGTGCCGCCATGAAGCGGCCTGCGAAGAGGCAGCCGACCCAGCTGCAGAGGGCAATCGCAGCGGGCGTCGTGAAGAAGGCCAGGCTTGGCTTCGCGGACCAACGGCAGGCCGACCCGCCTGTGGCACCTGAGCCTCTGTTGTCTGACCGTGCTCCGGACGGCATCACCTTCGGCGACTACATCGTCTGTGGCTCTCAGGCCGGGGTTGGACAGGGCGGCTACGGCGGCATCATGAAAGTAAGGCACCGGGTTTCGCATCGCATCTATGCGGCCAAGGTCAGCAACACGAATTTCCACCTGTCTGAGGAAGTCGCCTTGCTGAAGCAGCTGGCTCACGAGACCTTTCTGCCGTTGCTCGCAGAGTCGGTGGTGACTGAGGATGAGTTCGTTCCCGGCCAGATCTCCTTCATGATCATGCCTTACGTGGCCACGGGCTCCGTCCTGCATTACTTGCACAACGTTGGAGCTTTTGATGCTCAGAAGCAGTTGGCCCTCACCCATCAAGTGCTCGCCGGCTTGGCACACCTGCACAGGAGGACTGGGCATATACACGGTGATGTGAAGCCGCAGAACATTCTTTATGATCCATTGACAAACTCCTGTTTCATCATCGACTTCGGGATGACATACCGGCTTCCACTGGCAGAGGATTTCGTGGAGGACGGGGCAGGGGTGTACACCTATGCCTACCGAGCGCCTGAGGTTGCCAAGGGCCTGTCTGAGAAGATCCTCAAGCAACTTTTGACTGTGAAGGCCGATGCGTGGGCATTGGCCATGACGGTTCACCAGGCAGCTACCAAAAAGGCCTTGTTTCATATGAGCTCCTGGAAGGCAACGGAAAGTTTGTTGGAATTTTAACCCGGGCCCGCCTGACAAGAAAGCACGGTGTGTCCTCAGACTGAGCAATGCCAGTCGGGAGGTTGCCGAGGAAGTCCGTCTGATGTGGCTTGCGATGGCTGAGCCGGTGCTCCAAAAACGCCGGTCTTGCCAGCAGCTTGCAGAGGAGCATGGCCTGCGGTGATTCGCGAAGCATTGCAAGCACAGTAAAACATGCAGAGCGACGTTGGCAGACGTGTGCGTCTCTGCTGGCCTCTGCATGTGTGTGTGTGTGTGTGTGTGTGTCGGTGTGATCGTGTTCTGCAATGACAATGACGGCCTGGACAGGTTCCGTTGCGTGCAGCGAGATGTGAAGCAGGAGCCCCAGCTTTGCTTGATACTTCAAGGCACGGCAGCCTTGACCTCTGCTGCTGACTGTAGGTCTGGGTCAGCATTGCGGGAGCAGTGCAGTCAGTCACCATCTCAGTCTCTTGCACCGTCTTGTCGGATGCCCTTGGATTGTTTGCCGGGAAGCATACGAAAGTTGCAGTTCGGGCTCCGAGTGCTAGATCCCAGTGTGCACAGCCCGGGCTGCATTTTTGGCATGGCGGGCTCAGGCAGGAAAATCTGTGTAAGTGGAGTGATGGTTCTTCTCGGGCTGCTCTTCATGACTATGAATTATGCTGTCTTCCATGTTTCCTTGATGAGGAGCGTCTGAAATCCCGAATGCAGCGACTGCTGCGGCCATTGCTCGGGCCCGGGACCTGAATTAGCCGGATATTATCCCATTACACGACATCGACTTTGCTTCTTTCGAGCAGGTGGATAATTTTGTGAGTCTCCTGATGCAGAAGAAGGGCAAGACTCCGGCCACGAAGTCCACGTATGGATTGGTGAAGATCAAAGGGGGTTTCAAAGTGAAGGGGTTGGCCGTGCAGCACCACAGCGGCATGCGGGACCTCTTGAAATTCATGATGCAGTCGGCGCCAGAGCAACTAGACATGCAAGTCCGGACGATACACAGACAGATGACCGGCTCAGTGATTTCAACTGCCTCCTCCAAGGAGCAAGATCACGACGTTGGATATACTGTTTGACCCGCCGAATCAGGTGCAAATGGCAGGCTGGAGTTGCAAGCGACCGGCTGTCTTTCAGTCCCCTGTCGCCCCCGTATGAGGCTGGTCTGACAAGCATGACGTGGTCTTGTTCCCCTGCGGGAGTCCACCTTCGCCTGAGAAGGCTGACGAGCGTGTCGGCCTGTGGTATCATCGGGTAGCCGAGAGCAAAGGAATTTTCGATGCTGGCTTCTTCCACAAGGCCGCTTTCGAGCATTTACACCTGCAAGGGCGAAAATACATAATAGACACTCGTCAGTCAAACTCTTACTTGAAACGTGCAAAGGTCGCCACCCTCCCAGGCCATATGGCCTTTGTGTGCCCTCGTGCAGCAAGAGGTCGTGTGTACCTCTTGGGAAGGAATATCATCCAGGCAGCAGAAGATCATGTGTCGCCTGAGAACAAGAAGGACCTGGAATGCATGGGGTTCGCTGCGGAATATGGCGGCAAGCCCTCCAAGCAGACCCTCCTCACCCGTGGCCATGTGATGGACATCGCCAGCCCCCTGGCCGAACTGGTTGCAAAGCCTGAAACCTTGTGTCTCTTGCTGAATCTTCCTGCCTGAGGACAGATCTACCTCAAACACGTGAAGAAGACTGTGCCTGTGCGACAGGGCTCGAAGCGGACTTACTACTGCCCACACTGCAACCAGGAGGCAAGCTTGGGGACACTTCTGCGGGAGAAATGCTTTTGTTGTCCTGGGCAGGTGGAGCCTGTGAATAAGAGGTCCAGGAAGGAGAAGAAGGAGAAGAAGAACAAACGTGACTGAGCCGTTGTGCATGCAATCGCACAGGATTCAAGGCCCAGTCTGAAGCATTTTCTTTGCGGTGGGTGTTGCTTATTAGAAACAGCACCGCCTGAAGCATGGGGCTTGGGCAAGTTTCTAGTCTCGCCCTGCAGAGAGACGATTAGCAGTCGTGCCGCCGAAAGTCTGTTGCATCGCTGAGTCTGACAAGGCAGTCTAAGGCAGAGGCATGTCATCATGAGTATCATGAGCTGCATAACAAATCCGATGCAGAGGCCGTGTAGGCTTGGTCCTTAGGACGGTTGTAGAGAGGCATGACATCAGTAGAAGCATAACAAGTCCGATGCCAATGTATGCAGCGAGCACCTGCGACAGTCGTGAAAATAGTTCACAGGGCCTCCTAGGGCAACAATGGCCGAGCGTATTGCCGAAGAGAAGCATTTGCGGCGATGCACCGCGACTTGCCTTCTGACCATGTGTGCCTGCGTCGCCATGTTCCTGCAGTGAATCCTTTCTATTGAAATTTGTCTTGACTGAGGAAGGCAAGAATTGCAACGAGTGTCGGTGGATAGCACATGCTGCGGACTGGCAACAGCGGTGTACCTACACCATCAAAGGCGGGAATCTTGCGGAGGCGGTACGACAGGACGAGCGAGTCTGTCATGCCAGGTTCGACCAGGTCATGGCTGATCCGGTCTGATCCGGGCACGAAGTTCGGCGTCGGGTGCTCAGTCTGCCGTCAGTATGCCGCAGCCCTCGGCGGCAAGGAATGCGTGCCACTGCGTAGTCGGCCTTGGGTCGAATGCAGCGTTGGTGCTGGACTTCGGTGCCTGGGATCGCGAATGGCATGGCATTGACAGCGGTGCATGGTGTGCTTGAGGTTTTCTCTTCTCGTGCTTCATGTCAGGTGTGGCGGCAGACCGGCTGCTCTTCAAATTGAGGACATGCTTCGGCACGGCGGCCTGAAGTTCAAGCAGAATGCCCAGAAAAGCAGATTCCACCAACAAGCTTTACGTTTCCTGTCTGAGGACAGGGCTGAGGGCCACGATGAAGGCCAGGGGGTGGACGAAGATCAGACAACCGTGAAACGGCTGGTCTCGTCTGATACTGGCGGCCCCACTCCCGCCCAATGCTTGACGGCACTGGAAGTTCTACTTGCGAACCGCTCCGACTTGTCGGTAGCGCTTTCTAAGTAGACAGAACTGTAGGCTCGCAGAGCGAGCCGGGGCGGCTCCAGTATCGTGTACAGTCTTGCGGTATGTGGTAGTCTCACTCAAAGCAGAATTTTTACATGTGATTTTCACGGTGAATTTTTCATGAATGTTTTTCCTGGCATTTTCGGCATGCGAGATTCACTTTGTGATTTGATCTCAATCAGCATGGCCGCGCTCGCCCTCTCAAGCAACAGAAGGGCGGGACCCAACATTCATGAAATTTTTGAACAGGGGGGCCCAGCCATGGCTGGCCATACTGACCTCTGTGGTCTCTTTCGCCGCTCTGACCTCGATGCTGTGCGCATAATCTGGGCTTGCATTTCAAGTGATGCTCGCCGCTGCCTCATAGACACCTGCTGGTCTGTTCGTGCAGTGTGCTTCTGCGCTCAGCCTTGACCGACGATGAGCGACCCCGCTCGTGAGGTTGATGAACTTTTGGGCTCCATTGATCTTACAGATGTCGGGGGGATTGAGGATCAAGAGGCCTGTTCAGTCGTGCCAGAGTCTGACCAGAACATTCCTGCTGCACCAAGCTTAGATCAAGAGATTCCGGACAACCAGCTGTTGTCATTTCTTGAAGATGATGAGGTGTGGGACGGCCGATCCCTTAGCGCCCCAGACCTTTCTTGTGCTGCTGAGATTTCTGAATCGGAGAGAGAGTGGTACTTGATTGCGGGGTCGTTCGGGGCAGCCCCTGCGGAGTGCGCGCCTAGTGAGCAGTCACCACCGAGCTTGGAGCCAGAGCAAACTCTGGCGGTCCCGGCCCTGGACAGCATCGCCGAGGACCAGTTGCAGCAGAGTGCCGTGGGGCATATCCATAAGAGGCTCCGCTTGGAAGCCCCACTCCTCCCGTGGGAGACACAACCGCTTGCCGCAATCTTCGGGGGCCCATCTTGGCATGACACCTTGCAGCGCCGGATCAATTTGGATCTAATGCCTGGGGTAGGTAGTGCCGACGTCCTTAAGCCTGCCGTGCCTAAGGTTCCTGCCCCTAAGCCCCAGATCGTAGCAGCGTCACTTGCGAACCGTCTTCACCGCTTCCGGCCGGAGGCTTCAGACGAAGATGTTCGCAATCTTGCCTTAGCCAAGCTCAAGGTATTGATTACTAGTGACCCTCTTGCCAGTGAGCTGGGTAAGTCCTTGATTGATAAGCTGGGAGGTCTGGTGCAAGAGGCTGTGGTAGCTCAGTCCTTTGCAGATGCTTTCCGTGCCAAGGCATCATCCACGCTCAATGGGCATGCTTGTGCGCTCACGCGGTTCAGCGCGTGGTGTGCTCGCCAGGCGGCAGAACCTCTTCGAGTTGATGAGGAGCAGCTATATGCGTACTTGTGTGAAATGCGGTCCTCCAACCGGGGGGCTACTTCAGGAAACAAGTTTTTGCAGTCGCTGACTTTCTTGGAGTACTCCGTTGGATTGATCTTCTTTTCAACTGATGTGGCGGTATCTGCGAGGGTTCGGGGCGTAGCTCGTGACATGGCCCTCACCAAGGCTCCGCTGTCTCAGAGGCCCCCACTCACTGTGGAACAGGTTGCGGCACTTGAGGCCCTACTTGTTAACGACCTGAATGATACCGACGCCTGTGTGCTGGGCCAGATACTCTTTGCTGTCCACTCTGCCGGCAGGTGGAGGGATATCCAGGGGTTGCAGTCCGTGGATGTCTCCGAAGGTTCTGAGACCACCCTGTTGCTTGCAAATGGCCTGAAGAGCAAGACCACCCAAACGGCTGAGGCGCAAAGGAGGCTCTTGCCGTACGTCGCAATCTCCACTGGTGTCTCAGGTTATGACTGGGGTGACCGGTGGCTCACCGCCCGAAGGAACGAGGGCCTTCAGTGGGGAGGCGACTTCTGTCTCCCTTCGTTCTCCTTGAGGCTGGGGCAGTGGAGCACGGCCCGCATGGGTTCCGGAGAGGCATCAGCATACCTTAGAGATTTTCTCGAGGCCGTTAATCTGCCGAACAGCAAAGTTGGGACCCATAGTCTTAAGACCACCTTATTGACGTGGGCGAGCCGCTCAGTTCGAATCGACTTCAGTGAGCCCGAAAGGCTGCACCTGGGCCACCATTCGGCCCCGGGCACCAGGTCGATGCTCGTATACAGCAGGGAGGCTTACTCCAAACTTTACGCTAAGGTCC